ATGGGATTGCTTAAACAATCCAGGCCACTTGTTTTTAGCAGCCAACTAGCACAGCTCCAGTTTCAGGACTGATAGCCACTGTTTTTGTTTGTTTGTTTTGGGTTCATTATTTATTTATTCACTTTCTATCCTAATCGAAGCCCCTCCTCCCAGTCACCCCCTCACACACCCCTGTTCCCAATATTTAATTTTAAAATAAAGCCAGAAAGAGATACATTATTGACACACCAGATACATGGACATTGAACATTTTAACAGGCACTTATCCAATAGAGAATCACTTGAAATAGTGCTGGTTTAAGTTGAACTCAAAACGACTATTTCTACTGCTGTTCTTCATTACCAACTTAATAACATCACTGTTCCCAGTGAGTCATTTCGGAATCAGAGAGGACAGTCCAGAGGATTTATATGATTCTCAATAACAGTATGTCTGACTTGATCAGTGGTCCTTACACTAAACAGCATAGCCGGCAGCCAAACTTCCATGAGAACATTCTCAGAAGTTTCTGTAAGATTCTACAAAGCTAAATGCTACAGAGCTCCATGTACAATAACATAACTCAAATCAGTTTGCACTGAGACTCCAAGGATGCTTAACGGTTAATGTGCACAATTATATGACTGCCAGAGAGACACAAAACAGAAGTCTGTGTCCTTGATACATATGCCGATGGTGTATTATAAATTATCATTAAACAATTATTTGGCACAGAAAAATATATACGTTAAAAAAGGTTGGCTAGACCATAAAAAAAAAAAAAAGGTTACGGATGACAGTAAAATGCAATAAGGGAATATGCTATCCTAGAATACAAACTACTGTATTTCCTCTTGATTTTCAAGACAGAGTAATTAAATTTCCATGGATAGTTCAGAGGTGCAAATGAAGTTTACACAGCTGCGCAATCATGAGCAGACAGTCTTATCTACCATTGGCAATGGAAATCTACATGCAGTCAACAAAATTCTGTATGTTTCCTATGATTTTTTTTTTTTTTTACAATCGAAGCTACAAATACAAAACTATTACTATAGTGGTAATTATAAAATGTCTGCTGAACTGGAAAACACTTCACGAGTTTTAGGAAGACATACAAGTGGGATACAAGTTTACTGCATCAATTAATGCACCACTTCCACTCCAAGTGCTACTCACACACCTTGTCCACACCCTGGTATTTTAAAGTGACTTAATTAGAAAGCCAAATCTTGGAGGTTACATCTGAATAGGAATGACAATGACACAAATACAATGTAAAATGTAACGTAATTACAATGACAGTGTAAAAGCAAAAATTTAGTTTTGGTTTTTTTATGTTTTTGTTTTGTTTTGTTTTGTTTTTTCAGCAACATCTGGATTCTAAAACCTTGGGCCATCTTGTAGAGCAGGTTTGAGTAACAACCCCTATGGTCTCTCTCCACTTTGCTGCCAGAACCTTGTGGCAATTCAAATTCTTATTGATGGCTCCAGAGAATCGTTGAGCTTTAAATGCAACCAGGAAATTCAATGCCCTAAAGAATGTAAACTGTCTTCCAAGGACATTAAGTAAAGAGCACCGAGTTACATAATGAGTTACACTCTACCATACATTAGGACTGTAAATGAGTTAGAAAACCTTGGAAATAAACATTTATGCCATTTTACTTTTGGAAGAGTGCTTTGATGTGCTTGAATTTGATGGTTTTATATGCCCTGTGTATTTGTTTGGCCAGCTCTTAGAATTCCAGAGCCTACATACCTAGATAACTAAAATTTCTACTATATAACCCTCAACCATCTCAAAGGAAATGAGGTTATGTTTTCTGATATGAAAAAAATATTACATATTTCTCAGAGGTTTTTCTAATTTAAGGAACTCAAAACATGAGAGGTAAATTAGTACAGCCAATTCTAAGACATGATGTATCTTAATTCATACTGGCTTTCTAGCTGGAAATACATCTACAATCAGTGAATATCCTAAGTAAATTTAAAGTAGCTCAGAAGAGGGGGTAAAAACTATCTATTATCTACAATCTATTATCTAGCTGAAGACAAATATTGAAATTCAAAAGCTAAAGAGTCAGACTACAAACATCAATGCACCCTTACATAAAGAATACTGGGTATAGAAGCCTATTATCCTGGTTTAAGCAAATATTTAGGTATTCGCAGGTCTGAAGGTCACTAAGGAGAGACCCTTATCTCATAATCAGCAGCTTGAAAAACAGGCACTGCAATTGGAGGACTTAATTGGTCAAAAGAATGTGACCTGAATCCTATCTCTGTCCTCAAGTGGAAACATGACATTCTAAACAGCCAACAAAATCTTACTACTATTGAGTTTGGAAACTTTCTGGTAAAGAAGAGACATGGTACTGCCCCCACACTTAAGTGGGCCTGTCAATCATCTGAAGAGGAAAGTCCCCTCAGAAAAGACATCTGTTCTAGAAACTTTGAGAACTAGTATGAGGTCTACGGAGGAGTGGAGATCGGCATAATGAGCACTTTAGCTACTGCCCTCATGTCTGAGGAAGGACCTACTTTAACGGGAACTCCACAAGCAGAGCAACAGAACAAGATAATTTGAACACAGGGAACTTCCCAGAGACTCCTACTCCAACCAAGGACTATTTGTGGAGATGACCTGGAACCCCTGCACAGGTGTAGCCCATGGCAGTTCAGTGTCCAAGTGGGTTACATAGTAATGGGAAGAGGGACTGCCTCTGACATAATCTGATTGGCCTGCTCTTTGATCACTTCCCCCTGGGGGGGGAGCAGCCTTACCAGGCCACAGTAGAGGACAATGCAGCCACTTTTGATGAGAACTGATAGACTAAGATCAGAAAGAAGGAGAGGAGGACCTCCCCTATCAGTGGACTTGGGGAGTGGCATGCATGCAGAAAGGGGAGGGAGGGTGGGATTGGCAGGGGAGGAGGGAGGGGCTTATGGGGGGATACAAAATGAATAAAGTGTAATTAATAAAAAATAAATAAAAGATTTAAAAAAAAAAAGAAATGCTGTGTTTTCTACACTGCATTTTGTATGTTTGAATTGATCCAGTAGAGTTCACAAGGGCAGAGAGTCGGCGTGATAGATATCCCAGTAGCATTAGGAGGTGGAGGCAGTAGGTTCGAGAGTTCAAGGCAAGAAATAACTGCATAGAAAGTCTGAGACAGGGCTGAAGAGATGGCTCTGCAGTTACTGCCTGCTCGTCCAGAGGGCCTAGGTTCAATTCCCAGCACCCACAAAAGAGCTCACAACTGTCTGTAACTCCAGTTCTAGAGGATCCGATGCCTTCACACAGACAGGCAGGAAAAACATCCGGGCACATAAATTGGAGGATTTAAAATAAAATCAAAAGTTTAAGGCCATTCTAGGATACACAAGATCTTGTTTTGGGGGGTGGGGGGTACAGAGCAGAGATGAAGAAAGACAAAGACAGACAGACAGAGACAGAGAGAGGGAGAACAAGAACACACCTTTACTATAAAGTGAGGACGGAAATTAACGTCATATCAGTCTCTCCCTAGCCAGTTTCTCACTTAATGCTCAAAGTACGGCTACTGAAGCAACATCCACTCACAGTTACTGCACCAACAGATTCAAAGTGAATCTAAAGGACTCTATCTCCAACACCCGATGCTGATGTAGATAAGCATCAAGAAAGCTTACTCATTATAGGTGGGGATGGAAAACAATACAGTCACTATCAAAGTCTAGAATTTACAATGTTAAACACAGGCAAGTCATATAATCTAACAATAACCCTTGTAAGTATTTACCGCGATGGACTCAATGTTCCTAGCAGCTCCAACAGAGCTGCCAAGTTTTAGGCAATCAAGGTACCCTATAGCATGAGAGCGAGTATAAAAGCAAAGAATGGTATAAGCATAGAAGTCAAAATCCATAAAATAAAAAGGGAGCTATCAAGCTCGGAATAGATCAGCAGGAAGCCAGTCTGAAAAGCTACTTATTGCACTCTGTCTAGGTTGACCATCGAACATTTTTGTCATTTTGGTTGTAAGCCTTTAACAATCGAGCCATTTACATAGCCCAACATAGGGAGTGTTTATGGAGTATGGGTAGATAAATAACAAGTACACATTTATAAACCATAGAACAATAAAAACAGTGAACCCTAATACAAACTGATCAATACTGATTCACTGCTGGCAGTGTGTACTACACTAATGCAAGGATGGCGTTGTGGTGAAGCCCACTTCTCAAGGCTATGCATGACCACACCCATCAAAGGGTTGATACTGCTATGATGACCTACAGAATATGTTGACCCTACCATGATGGCAAGAAAAAAGCAGACAATGATAGCTACATCCATACAAATAGAGCTTTTTAACATGTTTTTGTACAGTGAGGTAGAGGGTTCACCAGACCCTTGGCTGCTCACCGGAAAGTCCACCTGCCACTGCCTCCGAGACCCATGGCTCTTGGCATGGGGGGTGGGGCGGTAATATGGGAAGAGGAAGGTTAACTGAAGATAGCATTCTAGAAATACAGCTTCAGAGCCATCACCCATGCTAGGCTGGTACTCTCCAGTGAAGCTCTCATGACTGCTGACACCCAACCTCTATATATACAGCCCAGCAATCACACTGGTTTAGCATGCTGGGCTTGGGTAGAACGGTTTCTTTGTTCTGTCAGTGGCCTCTCTCGGAAGAGGAGGTGCTTATTCAAATGCCTTCAGGAAAATTCATGGAAAAGATGCAAACTAGAGAAGACTACTTGTCTGGAAGGAAAGAGGATGAACTACTGTGAGCAGTCTTCCTGTAAAACTCCAGCTGCTCAAAAAAGGGGTCTATAGAAAAGCCAGATCATTGGCTCAGGTTCAGCTCTCTGCCTGACCTTTCGCCAAACTTAAGTAACGGGAAAAGTAAACACACAAGGAAATGACATATTCCCCCAAACACATGCACGGCGCGTCTGTTAATTCTGCGACAAGAAGCAACATAAAGAACATGAAGTAATGAACAGTAGCCTCCTTAAAGGTGCTCACCTGTCCTGCGACTGCTCTTCGTACATCCTCTCCTTGCCTTCCTTAAAAAGTCGTATGGCTCGCTTTGACTTCTTCATTAGGCCATCGATGTAGACTTTGAAATACTCATTCTCACTCAGTTGAGCAAGCTTCTGGCTGTCATCAGATTTACTCAGTATAAGTCGCAAGTGCTGATACGTATCAGGTAAAATATCAAGTATATACGGTGGGCTATTTTTCAACTGAAGTTTGGGATTTTGGCACAGTCTTACCTAAAAACAAAGAAAGAAAAAATATCTTACGGAAACTATAATATTTTTTCATAGGTAAGTGATAGAATGAGTAGAACTATGCCCCCTTTCTTTTCCACGATGTAATCTGTGATACGAATTACTCTTCAGTTTACAAAAGACCCACAAATACTTTTCTATTACAACAACCAAATCCTATTCTCTTATTCCATGCACTTTCCTATATGCTATCCTTATTTTCAACTGTGAACATTTTGATCATCTTTTCTACAATGTCCTAATGTGTACAGTCTAGCAGAATGCCAGTGAAGTAACCACTAATCATCTTGTAACATTAATATTGTTTTTAATGAAAGCAAGCAGCCAATGAAAATCGAATTTTAAAATGCTATTTTACTCTATTAAGTTCATGGCTAGAGCAATTTTGCAGATTTTAATTAATATTTTGATGCATTGTTTCTGAGCCCTGAGGAGGACTTTTAACAGATGTGTGCCTTTAACAACTAAGTTATTAAGCAGTTACAAGTCTAAACAAGCCTTTCTCCCTCACAGTGTCTACCAGGGCTATAAACATGTGACGTAGAGCTCTCAGTCATTCCACCAGGTGCCACCCAGTCACTGGAGCATTAAAGAGCAAGCACTGCCTGCAGAACTGAAAATACTTTCTGCCAGAAAAAAAAAAAAAAAAAAAAAAAAAGAAGTGGTAATTCAAATCTATACTATGTTCACTTTTATACGCTAATATGGCATAGCCATTAATAGAGGCCGGTTTATTCTGTCCCTGTGATTGGGGTATTGTGAACCCACCAATTCACTCATTTGAAAAAGATCTCTGGGAATTGCATACTGTATTCACAAGGTACGCACGCAGCACTCGTGACAGGGTGAAAGTCCACCTGCAGGAGGATCTATTATGTCAGTGTAGCATAAGGCCCTAAGTCCCTCACATGTGGCCTTCCCTTAGGTTTTGTGTATGTTTTGATTTTATAAAAGATTTCAGAGCAAGGTATTTAAAACACAATAAATGAGCAATCTTGTCATCTTCCTTCCCATAACATTGCCCCTCCTTTTGGGTAGCAATGGAGAAGCCAAAGGACATTTCTGAAACCTGGCTAATAGGAAGCTGAGTTAGAGAGACATTCGGGTTTAGAGACTATATGCAAAGAATGCAGTCCCAGCTCCATAAATAGTGAAATTATGGTCGGCAGTCTGAAATAAGCTAGAGAGACAGAGAGGGAAGAATACTGTGTAATCTCATTTATATACAGAACTTAAAAATGAAGAAGTGAAATAAGTAGAAACAAAGTTGAATAATACTGTCAAGAGCAGGGAGAAGAGAGAAAGTGGGGGAAGTATGTCAAAGGGGACAAAGTGAAGTGAAAGAAGATGAACAAGTCTAGAAATGTAGCAAAGCTCAGGGACCACAGTTAGCAGTGTCACCTTATTCAGTAAAGTTGCTAGGGAAAAGGACTACAGACACTCTTTACATATATATATATATATATATATATATATATATATATATATATAT